TTGAAGACCCAATCCCATTGTCCTTAATTGGGCAAAACTCCAAGGGAAGTGAATGGGAGTTTTGCCTGAGTTGTGATCGATTACCAAATCACACAGAAATAAATGCAGGGTAACGATTCAGACAAGGGAAATTGTGGAGACACCTTGGAGGAGAAAGTTGTTGAAAGGAGAGCTGATGGAATAAATGATTTTGGAGGAGGACAGAGGCCCAATCCCATTGTCCTTAATTGGGCAAAACTCCAAGGGAAGTGAATGGGAGTTTTGCCTGAGTTGTGATCGATTACCAAATCACACAGAAATAAATGCAGGGTAACGATTCAGACAAGGGAAATTGTGGAGACACCTTGGAGGAGAAAGTTGTTGAAAGGAGAGCTGATGGAATAAATGATTTTGGAGGAGGACAGAGGGAGATGGATTACTGTACTAGAAGTGGGAAGGCATTTAAAAATAGAGCTAAGCATTTCACAAAGAATAATTTTGGTTGAATGCTGCCTTAAATGTATTAAAATGAATTGTCCACCATCAGGTCATAACATTCGCAAATGATGCCAAGATTCATCTTATTTCCCCAGAAAATAATTCTCAGTTTGCCTATCATTTGCAAATAATATGTTCTCAATATTGGCAGTCCATACTGGTCTGATTGCCTATGTGCGACGTGTTTTTTGTTTCAGTTCTCTGAGTGTACAGTGTTTGTAAATCACCAACATGGGAAAAACGTCAGTTTACAATTAAACCTCCCATTTGAAATGTTGCTTTTGTTGGCTATTTGATCTTAAAATTCCCTTTTCATGGCTACTTGTGCATCTGAAGCATAATGCTCAGATATTCATGGCAAAAGAAAATGAGACTCCTAAACATGTTGAGTCACAATTTATTTTTGAACGTAAAAAAATATTCTTGGAACAGTTTTTTTTTTTATTACTGCGTCTTTTGATCTGGTATATGTGTTCCCACTTCAACAAGAATCTTCAGTATTGACTACATTAGTCTCCCTTCTTGACCCCTCTATTTTTTTCTCCCTTCCTTTCAGGATGATACCGAGCCATACTTTATTGGAATATTTTGTTTTGAAGCGGGTATAAAAATCATCGCCCTGGGGTTTGTTTTTCACAAAGGCTCTTATCTCCGAAATGGCTGGAACGTGATGGATTTTGTCGTTGTCCTCACAGGGTAGGTGACTGTTACCATTGCTTCTGGTTTGTTAAAGGATTAAGGTGGCTTTATTTCATATTGTCTTTTAACTATGGATTGGGGGTGGGGGAAGGGGAAGGAAGCAATCCAAATATGTACTGCAGTAATGGTGTGCGTTGCTGAATTTATTGTCTTTAATAGCTGTTGTGCTGAATGAGCTGGTTTTGAAGTGTAATGTTGGAAGTGAACTAAAAAGAGGGCTTGAAGACTGATCAGAATACACAGTCATAGGTTTCCCAGATGTCCTGAGAGTTCCATTTTCCCAGCTTCTAATTTCCAGGAAGCATTTCAACTCTAGTTACAATAATCCCTCATCTGAGACTGTGGGATGATACCAAAAGGAAAAACTTTAAAGGAAATAGGTGACAGTTAGTCTTTGTTAGAACAGCTGCAACTCCATCAGAGTCAATGGAGTTTCACCAGGGATGACGCTGACCCATTCCAAAAAGAGTGACTTGAACACTCAGCCTCTGTTATTCCTTTTAGTCAGTTAAAAATTCTGCTTGTTTTCCCTGAAACATGTAAAGCCCACGACTAGTTGAAAGATATCTGTTGGGTTTGCTCTGTTGTACCAATGCTGAACATTCTAACAGTTTATCTTTATGCCCCTTGCCAAATTGAGAGCGAGTAGAAAAGTAACTCTGTTCAAAGAGTTCTTGTGGCTCCATAGCGATCTATTCATTCAAAGTCCAAAATAGATGTCAACATTTTTCAAGATCTGTTTGAGGTCCTGATCATACAGTCTTTATACATATATTCACAACTGACTTCACTAGGAGTTTTGCCTGTTAGTGTTAATATCTACTTGTTTTGTATATCCCTCTGAGTATAGAGTATGGGAAATATACATTCTTTGTCCGTATCCTGGCATGTGATTTGGAATGGAGTGCTTTCAGAAAAGTACATACATATACACATAAACATATTCAGGAGATGCAGTCTGGTTGTAATTCTATTTGTTGTTCAGTGTACCATGTGATACTACTGTCAAGATGTTGAAGGGAATGTTTAATGCATTAATGTTTTGATTCTCTTGGTGCTAGTGTAAATCAAGAGCATCTTCACTGAAGCCAAAAGGAGAATCAGGTTCATATTCTAGGAATTTGTTAGAGGGGACCAGGATGAAATCTGAAATTAATGCAATTGCTACAGTCATTGATGACAAGATGTTTAACATCCTATTTCTCATTGGATCCTTACAAGGAAGAAACAGACCTTGAATCTGGAAAGCCCTTATGCACATGTTTGAATTCATCCTTATTCCACAAGGCACTTAAGCATTTGCTTAAGTCTGACTTCAAAAGTACTTATACGTGTGCTTAAAGTTGAGAGTTTAAGGGCTTTCTTGAGCACAGGTGCTTTTCTGAATAAGGGCCACATTTTGGTTTATATGAACATGGTTTTAATTTTTTTTAATAGCTCCAAATGCAAAATTGACATAGATCCTGTGAAATGCTTCCTGACTGTATCTGAGTAGCTCAGGATTTAGCGCGAGTTTATGAAATACGCCCAGTGCGTGCCATGCGTATGGCATCATATTTGGGGTTGGGAAGGAATTTTCCTCCAGGGTAGATTGGCTGAGGCCCTGGAGGTTTTTCGCCTTTCTCTGTAGCATGAGGCACGGATCACTTGCTGGAGGATTCTCTGCTTCTTGGGGTCTTTAAGCCATCATTTGAGGACTTCAATATCTGAGATATAGGTGAGAGGATTATTCTAGCAGTGGGTGGGTGAGATTCTGTGGCCTGCATTGTGCAGGGGGTCAGACTAGATGATCATAATGGTCCCTTCTGACTCTAATGTCTATGAATCTATCATAAATGAATGTGCAATGCTGTAGACATGACTCGGGCATTTTATTCCTATAATTTCTATGGCAAGTGCTTGCAGAACTGTTTGAGCTCTGAATATAATTGTGGATTATCGGTTTGATTAGACCGCTGTAATAAGGAATCCTGTTGTCATCTGCAAACATGCATAATCCTTTGAAGTACAATCCTGTAAATGTCAAGGCTTGCGGTTTCCAGTGGTGACACTAGCTGGGTTGTATTGAAGTTGTCTTGAACATGGACTTCCCAGCAGGCAAGCAATGCAGGGAGGACTTAGTGTAAACTGAGTGACATTAAGTACAACAGCCACCTCCAGTGAAGACATTCACATCACCTGTAAATATTTTATGGCCTCAATTCTTTGGCATAGTACATAATCACGTGCCTAACAGCAAGCTTTGGAATCACTGGGGTGGCTCATGTGCTTAAGGTTAGCCTTTAATAGGTAGCAGGTTTAAAACAAACAAAAGGAAGTACTACTTCATGCAGCTCACAATCAACCTGTGGAACTTCTTGCCAGGGGATGTTGTGAAGGGCAAGACTTTAACAGGGTTAAAAAAAGAGCTAGATAAATTCATGGCAGATATTTCCATTAATGGCTATTAGCCAGGAGGGGCAGGAAGGGTGTCCCTAGCCTCTGTTTGTCAGAAGCTGGGAATGGGCAACAGGGGAGGGATCACTTGATGATTACCTGTTCCATTCATTCCCTCTGGGGCTCCCGGCATTGGCCACTGTTGGGAGACAGGATACTAGGCTAGATGGACCTTTGGTCTGACCCAGTATGGCTATTCTTATACAGTGCCCATACTTTTTGGAATTGGGGCTTAAGATTGCAAGACCAGCGATGAAAAGAAGGATCCTATGGGACAGAAGTGGTGTTGAAAGATCTCCAACATCACACAGGGTATTAAATTAATTTTCCTATCAAGACTCTTGTGCGCTGGTATAAATTTCCTAGATGAATCGGTTTTCTTAGCTTATCGTTGTGCCACACATGCTAGATTAAAAGGCAAGGACTTGATAGTTGTTTGGGCACCACTCGCCAACTCTGATATCTTTATTATCCACCCAATAACCCATATACAGAGGAAGCTTTAAGCAAGACCATTTTGTTAGAGAGATCATTATGACATCCCCACAAGCGGACTTTAAAGAAAGGTCATCGAGGAAGAACGTTTACCGATAACAAACCAGACTCTTTCTTCAGGGAAGCGTTTGCTCTTTGGTGACATGAATTCAGCTTGGATTTTTCTTTTCTATGAAAGGTGATAGCAGAGCAGTTTATTTAAAAATGCTCATGTGGCAGGGTGTGTGTGTGCGTGTGTATGATGCACCAACAATAATAAACATGATATACAGTAGTAAATCTGCAGCTGATGCAGCATTTTAGATATTTATAGAATGTGTGTTAGAGCATTACTCTTGCTACACTACTATTGCAAACTATCATGCCAAGTTATTTTGTTTTTACCGTACATCCTGGTACTTTGTGAGATGAATTAATTTAGTTCATATGGAAAGTGCCCCACAGTCAACCCAGACAACCCTTAAGTCACTCCAAACACCTCTCATTGTGAAGATAAAAAGGTAGGATCCATTCAGTGCCCCAGCCCAGAAGAGAGCTCACCTTCACAAGTCACTCCAAACACCTCTCATTGCGAAGATAAAAAGGTAGGCTCCGTTCAGTGCCCCAGCCCAGAAGAGAGCTCACCTTCAAATGCATTTTAAATACATCTGGATCTATGGATTCCTCAGGTTTTGTGAAAACATATTATGTGATGCAGAAAATTCCTTCCACATTCATGCAGAACCTCTGCTAATCCTGTCGTCTTTGGAAAGCTAAATGATGAGCACTGGAAAACCTGATCTCATTTTCAGCTTTCAGATTAAAGCCAGAAAAGCAAAAAGCAGCTTTGCTCTCATTAGCTGTTTCCATAGGGAGCGGGTTAGTTGGTGCTGGGCTTTTATCAAACCTCCCCTTTTGTGTGAATTTTAATATGAGCTGATCACCTGTCTCGACAGACTCTGCAAACAACAAGAACCTTTCTCTGCCTCTTCTCCCCACCCCAGAGCCCAAATCCTGAAACATTGTTGACGTTGTTGTTGGCTGCCGGCAATGATAGACATTTTGTCTGTCAAAATTAGACATTAGAACTTGTTAATTAGAAAATAAATCACAGTTCTGGTATCTGCAGCCAAGATCAATACCCTATTGAACTAAACTGGAGGCTAATAGATTGTGGCCTAAAATGGCTTGTTTTATCATTCCAGAAAACACTCACGCAGTGTCTTACCACCAAAGTGCTGTGGTGTCTCTTTCTCATTTACTTTCAGGAAAGCCTGCCGACATGCTGTTAATAAAAGCAAGGGAAACAAATAGATTTCTGTTCTCCAGAAGATTTTCTTTACCCTGGATTTTTTTTGGGGGGTTTAAGCTGCAATTGCAGACAAGAACACTGCATTGTTGGGATGTCTCCTGCTGTATTAGGAGCCACAAATATTTATTAGCTGCTGCTGTTTGACTTGTATAGTTTTATTGGTGGGTTTTCACTTCAGTGACATTTCTTTCCAGTAATAACTGTTAACAAAATACCAACAACCAGGTTAGGTAGGCATCTGTCAGGGATGATCTAGATCAGTGGTCCCCAACCTTTTGGGGCTGCTGTGTGCCTGGGGGGGGGGACCGTGCATCTGGGGGCGGGGTTGAGTGTCCAGGGGCGGGGCTGCATATGTGCTGTGCATCCGGGGGCGGGGCCGTGTGTGCACCGCGCGTCCGGGGGTGGGGCCCGGGGTGCAAGAATGGCTTGGGCTGACCCATATCACTCGGCGGGCACACATAAATGCCCTGGCAGGCACCATGGTGCCCGCGGCACCGCGTTGGGGACCACTGATCTAGATGGTGCTTGGTCCTGCCGTGAGGGCAGGGGACTGGACTCGATGACCTCTCAGGGTCCCTTCCAGTTCTACTGTTCTAAGATTAAAATGATGAGGGGGCTGAGCACGTGACCTGTGAGGAGAGGCTGAGGGTCTGGGCTTGTTTAGTCTGCAGAAGAGAAGAGTGAGGGGGGATTTGAGAGCAGCCTTCAACATCCTGAAGGGAGGTTCTAAAAACGATGGAGAGAGGCTGTTCACAGTAGTGACGGATGCAGAACA